ACACGCTCCCCTCTTGCCTCTTGCCCATATGCTGCTGCCCCTCCACCACCCTGCAGCCTAATGGGGGAGATAGTGTTACGAATGGAGAGGGAAGTGCCCCTATCATGATGTCAGACTTCCTAACGGCTGCTTAAGTGCTGCTTAAAAATGACCCCAGCACTCTCTGAATCTGGGCGCATTGTATCAAGGACTAATGATTACGCGTGCAATGAGATGCGGCTTAATGAGGAAGCATTTTATGGTGGAAATGACTTAAATCTTCTTCTCTGGCTGTGGGCTGATTTGGTATTAAATGAAAGCAGTCTGGGCAAATGTCTGATGCATGCTGGGAAATGGATATTCAGTGTTGCAAATCACCTTTTGCATCATTTACTGCATCATTATCAGATATCTCTTGTAGTATATAATTTATCTATGCTGCACAGGAGTGAATATCATTTGTTTGCAGATGCCACTTGGTTTGGTATGTTTTTATACACTACTGCACAAAAGTTTGGGGTAATGGCTACTGAAAACTCAGTTTTGCTAACACAGGAAAAACATTTTTAAATATATTAAAATACAAAATTGTTATTTTAAATTGTAATAGTATTTCCAAATATTACTGTTTTTACTGTATTTTTTTTATCAAATAAATCCAGTTTTGGTGAGCATAAGATACATTAAAAAAAATATTTTTAAAAAATCTTACCAATTCCAAACTTTTGAACAGTATGTGTGCTTTTTTGTCTAAACAATTTTTAGGGCTATTGTATGTTTGATTCTAATATATTTAACAATGTGCAGGAGAGAGAGTGTTCCTTTTCTGGAGAAATCTTTTTTTTCCAGGTTCAATACCAGCTAAACTCGTTCGACCACAATACTGTTGATTTCTCCCCCCAAAAAAGGCTCATCCCTTGTTTTCCTAATTTAAAAAAAAATACTCTACATTTTTTTAGCTCATTTTTACAGGGCCATTTTTGGCATTTTGGCATAGTGATGGAACAGTAAAAATTTAAATAAGATTTTTTTACACTCAAATCATGTTAACACTTATTGTCTTCTGGTTATACTGAAGTATTGAAATCAGTGAGTTATTGAATCAGTGAGTATTTTCAATGTTTACGTTTCTATTGTAAGCACCTCACTATAACAGATTTTTGCTTAAAAAAAGAGCAACTGAGTAAAAAATGATAACTGCCAGTCAAATTTTAACTGGAAGGTAATCAACATTATGCCACAAATGCTGTCAATTGAGCTTTATTATATTGAACCTGGAATTTTTCTTTCAGGTTTGTCCCTTAGACATTGAAGGAAAAGCTTTGTACTATAGAGGAAGATTGGGGTTATTTTTAAAGAAAGAACCACTCTATCAAAAGAAAGACCCATGTCAGTTGACATTTGAAAAACAGGCACTTTGCACAAGCTTTAAGTCTCTTTCTTTCTGGCTGTAAGTGTGTGAGTGACAATGGGCGCTGTGTGGGTGCTGATAGACGGTCTGTTTTTTCCTCTTCATCAGCCTGATCAGAAATATGGCAGCAACCTCAGAAGCACCGGAGCTACCGCACTCTCTAAATCACTGGCCACACAGAGGTGAAGAAACAACTACTGCACCAGTACTGGAGCGAGTCACAGGCCTGGCAGCCTCCCTATGTGCTCAACTCACACTGTAAACACTGCTCAGGTGCACTGATGATTGTTTCAACTTCACCAGGTTATATCAATACTGGAAAGATTGCTTGCAAAGATGTTTATACGATTCAAGGTGAATTAGAAAAAAGTCAGCTGAAATATAATTTTAGCCAAAACAATCTCTTGCACCAAGTCTGCATTTATTTGACTAAACATACAGTAAAAACAGTAATATTGTGAAATATTACTTTCAGTTTAAAATAACTCTTTTCTATTTTAATATATTTTAAAGTTTTGTATATTTCTAGATGGCGACACTAAAATTTCAGCAGCCATTACTCCAGTCTTCAGTGTCACATGATCCTTCAGAAATCATCCTAATATGCTGATTTGCTCAAGAAAAATTTCTCAATATTATCAATGTTGAAAACATTTGTGCTTTTTTTTTTTTTTTTTAGTGGACGCTGCCTGCTACTTTTTCAGGACTATTTGATGAATAGAAAATTCTAAAGAACTGCGTTTATTTGAATTTATTAGAAATGTTGTATTTATTATTTATTTATTTTAGCATTTGATGTATCCTTTTAAAAAGTTTACACACTTTCTAAAATCAATTTTATTAGGAGCTGATATTATTCTTCTGAATAACCATAATTATGTAGGCGCAACTTGGCATGTTCTGCATTGTTAACATAAATAATGACATAATTTATTTATTTATTCTTACTCTCTAGCTAGAGGGAAAAATAAATTAATTTTCCTCACCAGACCCAGTCCTCCTCCTCTTCTTTTGTCACGTCTTCTTCCATTATTACTGCTTTTGTAATGTGGCTAATTTTAAAGAATGACACAGATTTCCCACACATAATTATATCCTAGAATTAACATGTTAGGCTATACTGTAAAAAATGATTGGGATTTTAACAGTAAAAGACTGTAAAAATGCTACAGTAAAAACCTGTTAACTGGTTAACAGTAAGTTTCCATACTATATGTATATATATGTATATATACGGTGAATAAATGTAACTACATTTAATGTGATTTTACAGTAAAATACTGTTAAAAATATGGTTTTTGGAAGTGAAAAATAAAAAGTCATTGTATAATTTACAATGAAAACCCGTAAATTGACACTCCCAGAATTCCCTGCATGACACTTCATATTTGATGTTTTTTTTGTTGTTGAAATAGCATGTTTCTTCTTCGTTTTTTTCTTATTAGATGTGTACAGCAGGGTTTAATCTTACATCTAATGTTGTTAAATTAATGTTTATTGCATTATTTCAGTATCATGGGGTTTAGTGTTTGTGTGAATGACTATATATAAGAACTACCCTCCTCAGCTCGTAGAAAAGCTGTTTGTGATGAACTTTGGTTCATCATGTGACTTTCTCATCACCACCAGTTTTTGGTGGTTATCAGTGCATTACAATGGTTCAAAACAGATATTAACACTTCAATATGGTGGTTTATTGACATTACATCAGTTAATGAAATACGGTATTTTATTGTGAATTTAAGTTAAATCTGTAAAACCTAAAATGTTGCTACCGTATTTTTTACGGTAAAGTTCTGGCAACTACAGCTGCCGGTATTTTACCGTAAATGTCACAGATTTTATTTTTTTTACAGTGTATGCCTACTAAATAAAATTCAAAAATTTACCGCAAAAAAAAATCATTAATTAAATTATACATAATATAAATTAGACTTATATGTATCATTGTTAATAAAACGTGTTATCCTTCAGCTAATTGTCTATTTGTTTTGCGCTCTTTGATAAAAAGATGACAAAAGTATAATAGCAGGACTGCTTTTATAATATTAACAATGGTGCGATTTTGAGATGCTCAACAGCAGCATGTTATCTCCCACTACAAAAAGTCCTAATGATGACAGCCTGCTACATTCTAGCTGAGGGAGGTTGCATTTCAAAGAGATCCAGACAATAGAAAGACAAGAAGACAACAGCTAAGCCCAGACTGAATCCTGATGTTATGTACGTGTCAGCCTTCCTTTTAAACGCCAACACACCTGCGCCATTCTTCTGTCCCTTCCTGGATGACACGACACAACAGGTGTCCATATCAGGTGCGCTGCAGCGGTGCACAGATGCGCCGTGTGGGACAGCAGCGACCCCATGAGGTGATCCATTATTCATTGTGCGGCAAACTGCTGGTGGAGAAAATGTTGTCCAACCTCCGGGGGCTCGAGCTCTTTCTGATCACTAAACTGACCTACAAATCGAGTACTCTAGAAACGCCTTATCCTTGTAACCTCAAACGACTTTAACCAGCGCTGAAAAGTAACATATCCTCCTGAGCACCAGAAATAAAAAGCTTTGTGAATTTAGTATTTTTTTCATGTCATGACATTGCATAAGAAAAAAATGGTCAAATACAATTTTTGAAAAATTATATTTTATTCATAAGTTATGCTATGTCCTCTGTAGAGGACACCAGGACTCCGTTTTTCTAAAAACACGAAAGACATGAATAGGCATAGGAATAGGGATATGACTCCAATCAATTTTTAGGTTTCAGGATTTTTTTATTACTAACTTTGTTTAAGGATGGTTCTCAACTGTGTTATAAAACATATAACAAAATGATGTGATATACCATTTTGCTTTATGCAATATGTGTGTAAAAATTCCATAAACTGGTTTTCCCATTAAGCACAATGTTATCTAATTTGCATATTAAAGTGCTGTTGGGACAGCATGTTGGAAAAAGAAGTGTAATAATGGGAATAGTAATTGTCCAGATTTTCATAATAATATCTAATATTTCATAAGAATATTGATATATCATTTGTTTTCCTATTCAGTTCTTTTGTCTCCCAAAATGTATAATAAACATGCTTTTAGTCCTGGTGTCCTCTACAGTGGACATGTATGAAAGTATGTCCTGTTTCATAAAAGGAAGTCATATTTTGATTTGAAACCCCATAACATTTTCCTGAGATGTTGATTTATGACAAACAATTTGAAAAGTAATCAGATTTAAATTATAATTACAAAATATTATCATATTTCCATAAGGATGTGCAATTTTATCACTAAATTAATGTCAGCCGTTTTTAAAGACCCAGGAGAGGTCATGGTGAAACATCCAATCATTTAGTATCTCTGGAAAGCCCTGAATGTGCTCTGTACAGGACATCCAGACTTAAAACTGTGACTTGTGAGGTCTCAGAGAAATTCACTCAAATATAATGTCCACTACAGAGGCAAAAACTCCATAGCTGGGTCTCAGGAGGATATGCCACATGCTTCAGCAGCAAAATGGATGATAACGTGCAAATAAATAACTGCACATAGTAACTTAATTGAAAATACAACATTTACAAAATGTATTATCGTGCTTGAACAATTAGAAACAGCATCGAGGTGTCTTTGACGTTTTGTAGTATTGTTGTTGTACCACTGCCAAAACACTAGGAGGCGCCAAACACAGGCGCTGGTCTCCGCTCAACACCATCATAAAGTCAGAAGAAGATTATAGGAAGAGATGGGCGAGGAAGAATGAAATAAACAGCACAATAAAAAGTATTAATCATAAAATAATGCAGCGCTAATTGGGACAGTTGTCAAAAACGTAAACACTTCCCATCGTTTCATCAGGAGAGGAGGACATGGCGTTTGTCACAGCGAACTGGAACCCTCTGGGCGATGCTTTTTACAGGTAAATAACAGAACAGCTTAATCATTCTGTTATTAAATGTGCAGAATATGAGCGTATGAAATCATCATCCTGCACAACCGCACTCGTTTAGGTACAGAGAAAGTGTAGCTTTGAAACGGGATGTTTGTTTTGAGTAGCCTCTGGTGTCACGTGACAGCTGTCATGAGAAGCAGCGAGTCAGTTAACAAGCAGCACAACTGTTTCTCTCCCTTATAGAAGTAGAGTGGATTTAATTGTAACTCTGACTGAATTAACTATGGTATACTAGAAAAGTTCACAATACTGTAAATCTATTAGTACAATCATTTTTCTTACAACTAGTCTCCACAAATGCCTTAGTTTGCTTTACATAAACTATAATCACATATACATCAATACAAGAAAATGAAGCCAAACCACTGCAGAAAAAAAAATATGCACTATCTGCACACATATACAGTGGTGTGAAAAAGTGTCGTCCCCCTTCCTGATTTCTTATGTTTTTGCGTGTTTGTCACACTTTAATGTTTCAGATCATCAAACAAATTTAAATATTAGTCAAAGATAACACAAGTGAACACAACATGCAGTTTTTAAATGAAGGTTTTTATTATTAAGCGAAAACGAAATCCAAAACTACATGGCCCTGTGTGAAAAAGTGTTTGCCCCCTAAACCTAATAACTGGTTGGGCTACCCTTAGCAGCAACAACTGCAATCAAGCGTTTGCGATAACTTGCAATGAGTCTGTTACAGCGCTGTGGAGGAATTTTGGTCCACTCATCTATGCAGAATTGTTGTAATTCAGCCACATTGGAGGGTTTTCGAGCATGAACCGCCTTTTTAAGGTCATGCCACAGCATCTCAATAGGATTCAGGTCAGGACTTTGACTAGGCCACTCCAAAGTCTTCATTTTGTTTTTCTTCAGCCATTCAGAGGTGGACTTGCTGGTGTGTTTTGGATCATTGTCCTGCTGCAGAACCCAAGTTCGCTTCAGCTTGAGATCACGAACAGATGGCCGGACATTCAACTTTAGGATTTTTTGGTAAACAGCAGAATTCATGGTTCCATTTATCACAGCAAGTCTTCCAGGTCCTGAAGCAGCAAAACAGCCCCAGACCATCACACTACCACCACCATATTTTACTGTTGGTATGATGTTACTTTTCTGAAATGCAGTGTTACTTTTACGCCAGACGTAATTAATCAGGCCTGGGTGTGGCTAGAGAAATTGAACTTGTGTGTGATAAACCACAGTTTTAACAGGGGGTCAAACACTTCTTCACACAGGGCCATGTAGTTTTGGATTTTGTTTTCCCTTAATAATAAAAACCTTCATTTAAAAACTGCATGCTGTGTTTACTTGTGTTATCTTTGACTAATATTTACATTTGTTTGATGATCTGAAACATTAAAGTGTGACAAACACTTAAAAAATAAGAAATCAGGAAGGGGGCCAACACTTTTTCACACCACTGTATAATAAACGTTTTTAAAAACATTTTCAGTTACAGGTTTGAATATGTTTTCATTATGTATGTACACAAGTATGAATTTGCAGTGTCACAGCTGTAATTTTTTTTCAACATACATGAACCACAGCTCAAACATGTTTTATGAAAGATCTTACATAATTATTTGTTTATATAGGAGCTTATTTACTTACTAATTTATTACACAATTTATGTGAACATAACAGTTTGAAAAAAAAGTTCTTTATATAACATTTTTTTATAACAACTGGTTTTGGGTAAGTTTATATTACAATACATTTATTTTGATAATGAAAGTATTAACTTGTTTCATAGGAAATGAAATATTGTACACTACCCGGTTTATTGGTGGAAGTCCTGATGTTTCCATTCAAGGATATTAGGAAGAAAATTGTCTTGACGTTTTCCAGAAACATTTCTTTATAAGGAGCAACGTGAAAATATAATCACATTATTTGATAATTACAAAACAATATACCTGCTGCTCCACTTTTTAAATGTTTTTGTCATGTTATGTCAGCCAATTTAAAAAACCAAGAATGTTGCCACATTGCCATACCCTAAACATATCCTTAAAAACAGCAAGATGTCCATTTTAAAGTACATTTAGACTTAAAACTGTGGCATGTAAGATCTGAGAAATTCGCTAAAAACAAATGTCCCCTATGGAGTACAAAACAGAATTGCTGGGTCCAGTGAGAAAAGCATAGGTTATGCTTATCTAGGGTATTAAGGAATTAACCTGGCTTTTACAGTATGCTGTACAGCAGAGCAGTCATACCAGGAATTATTATGCTTGTACCAACTTTCTAATCCCCGTTCTTTGTTCCTGAAACAGAAAGATCGAATTGTATGAGATGGGCTGGAATCTGAAAGATGGTCTGAGAGATTGTCTGGTTGCTGCAGCTCCATATGGGGGTCCCATCGGTGAGTTTTGTTTCATAACGTTGTTGCGTAAGATTGTATCAGAGTACAGTTTTGTGGAGTTCAAAGACGATGATACTTCTTTCTCTATCAGCTCTCCTAAAGGCACATAACCGACGCTCTCCCAGTGCCAGACCTCAGTTAGAGATCTTCTCTTCCTCAGGACTGCCTCTGGCCAGCTTTCCAGTAAGAACACACAGCTGCACAGCACGGCTGCCCGATTAATCAAAATAAATTTGAAATTGCGATATGGCTTAGTGTGATTATCAAATCACAAAGGCCAATTAATTGAATGAATATGCGTGGCACTGTGTTCTTATATGTTAGTTGCTCATAATCCGGCAGCATTTGCGGTGTCTTAGAGTAGCTTGGTTTGCAGTAAATGCTGCTCCACATTAACTCATCTATGCATCTGTTGTATAGAGTTTCAGTTGCTTATAACATACATTTGGAAAGGCAAAATGCTCCAACCATCCTCCCATACTTGTAGAGAAGCGCTTATGAACAGAAGAGACGCTCTGTAAGCTTCATGCATTTTTTTTGTCAGAATAAAAGTTAGATGATTTAACAAAAAAAAGATGTATATATTAAGAAAGACATAAAAATTGGCATTGTCATTTTACACTTGTACTGTGAAATAAAATTATGTTTTACGATTTCTTTTTATTTTACAGTGAGGTTACAATAGTAATATTTCTTATTTTGTTTTTGCTTAGCAATTTTTATGTTTAAATTTTAACATTTACAATTTTAATAAATAGTTATTATTATTAGTATTATCTTTTTTGTTGTTGTTGTATCGATAGATAAATAAACATGCACACTTTGGCAAAACAAACCTATACAACAAAGTACAACAAACCTGGATTTTTTTTAATAACATCATAAATTGCCATTTTTATAACAATTCGATTTTGTCTCAAAATCGTGCAGCTCTAGAATTGATTATTAGTTATTAAATAATGCTGTTCTTTTGGAATACTTTTGTGAACAAAAATGCTGTATAGTGACCTCTCTCTTTGTCTGCTTCAGTGGAAGAGTGGAGTGGTGAAGCAACTGGGTTGGACGGTGTCTGATGACCTACTGTGTGTTCAGGAGGATGGCACTGTGCTTGTCTACGATCTCTTGGGTGGCTTCAAGAGACACTTCAGCATGGGCAATGTGAGAATGCACATGGTTTTAAAAGGATGCGTCTGTGATTCTATAGCCTACGTTCAAAGCATTGCTTCTTTAAATCAGTATTGATTTATAGCTAAAACATAGCATTGATTCTTTCACAGGAAGTTTCTCAAAGTCAGGTGCTGGAGACCAAGATATTCCATTCGCCGTATGGGACAGGTGTTGCCATATTGACAGGTGCCTTGCGATTCACTTTGGCCACAAACATTGATGACATAAAATTGAGGCGGTTACCTGAGGTTCCAGGTAAAATATGCATTCTTTGTGGTGTTATAAGAATACATAATTCCACAGTATTCTGAAAGATAAACTGTAAGTGAGATGCATTTATTAAGGTTTGATGTTTCTAACCCTAAATGGTAATTTTTTTTAAATTCAGATCTACAGGGGGCGCCCTCATGCTGGGCAGTCCTGACTCAGGACAGGCAAAGTAAAGTGCTGGTGGCCAATGGATCTCATCTGTTCGTCTTAGACAATACAGCTTGCACACCTGTGGTAAAGACCACTCACAGAGACTCAAACTACACAGATATTCAGATATTTTCAGTGTTTTATTACCTCATAAAAGTTACCAGTCTTTTTGCCCCAAATCCAAATAATGTGTATTTGAAACTCATGATGATGACAGACCTAGCAATCAAAAAAGTGTATAAACAGACAATGTGGATAAGAAAGCACCTGCTAAATAATGATTGTGTGTGTGTGTGTGTGTGTGTGTGCGTTAACAATTCGATTTTGTCTCAAAATCGTGCAGCTCTAGAATTGATTATTAGTTATTAAATAATGCTGTTCTTTTGGAATACTTTTGTGAACAAAAATGCTGTATAGTGACCTCTCTCTTTGTCTGCTTCAGTGGAAGAGTGGAGTGGTGAAGCAACTGGGTTGGACGGTGTCTGATGACCTACTGTGTGTTCAGGAGGATGGCACTGTGCTTGTCTACGATCTCTTGGGTGGCTTCAAGAGACACTTCAGCATGGGCAATGTGAGAATGCACATGGTTTTAAAAGGATGCGTCTGTGATTCTATAGCCTACGTTCAAAGCATTGCTTCTTTAAATCAGTATTGATTTATAGCTAAAACATAGCATTGATTCTTTCACAGGAAGTTTCTCAAAGTCAGGTGCTGGAGACCAAGATATTCCATTCGCCGTATGGGACAGGTGTTGCCATATTGACAGGTGCCTTGCGATTCACTTTGGCCACAAACATTGATGACATAAAATTGAGGCGGTTACCTGAGGTTCCAGGTAAAATATGCATTCTTTGTGGTGTTATAAGAATACATAATTCCACAGTATTCTGAAAGATAAACTGTAAGTGAGATGCATTTATTAAGGTTTGATGTTTCTAACCCTAAATGGTAATTTTTTTTAAATTCAGATCTACAGGGGGCGCCCTCATGCTGGGCAGTCCTGACTCAGGACAGGCAAAGTAAAGTGCTGGTGGCCAATGGATCTCATCTGTTCGTCTTAGACAATACAGCTTGCACACCTGTGGTAAAGACCACTCACACAGACTCAAACTACACAGATATTCAGATATTTTCAGTGTTTTATTACCTCATAAAAGTTACCAGTCTTTTCAAATCATGTGTATTTGAAACTCACGATGATGACAGACCTAGCAATCAAAAAAGTGTATAAACAGACAATGTGGATAAGAAAGCACCTGCTAAATAATGATTGTGTGTGTGTGTGTGTGTGTGTGTGTGTGTGTGTGTGTGTGTGTGTGTGTGCGTGCGTGCGTGCGTGTGTGTGTGCACGTTTTTGTGATTTATGAGGACACAAATTTATATAATGACATGGTTATGGCATAGGTATTACAACGAGAAGGTGATTTAGGAGGACATTTTGAGTGTCCCCATATTTCAAAAGGCTTATAAATCTTTCAGAATGAGTTTTTTTGAAAATCTAAAAATGCAGAAAGTTTCCTGTAAGTGGTAGGTTTAGGTGTAGGGTTGGTGTAGGGCAATAGAATATACGGTCTGTACAGTAGAAAAACCATTACGCCTATGGGATGTCCCCACTTTTCACAAAAACAAACCTGTGTGTGCGCGCACATTTTTGTGATTAATGAGGACACAAATTTATATAATGACATGGTTATGGCATAGGTATTACAACGAGAAGGTGATTTAGGAGGACATTTTGAGTGTCCCCATATTTCAAAAGGCTTATAAATCTTTCAGAATGAGTTTTTTTGAAAATCTAAAAATGCAGAAAGTTTCCTGTAAGTGGTAGGTTTAGGTGTAGGGTTGGTGTTCACAAAAACAAACCTGTGTGTGTGTGTGTGTGTGTGTGTGTGTGTGTGTGTATCAGACTCCCCCAGGCCTCTCTCCACAAGCGTCCAGTATAGTTCACATGTGTGTCTCATTCAGTTATAAGTATCTGGCGCTCCTCACTGACTCTGGCCATGTGTGGATGGGCACGTCAAACCTAAAGGTAAGTGAAAACCAGCAATATCACTTTGTATTTGATTAACCTGTTTATTCTGGTTACAATTGTAGAAACTTGCTGTAAGTGGTCTAAGCAATTGTTTCTCCATCAGTTCATTATTCTCTCTGATTAGTTAACTAGTTCATTAATTGCTCTGTCTTAAGCCTTAATTACAACCTTAATACTTTTGCACAACAAAGCAGCATCAGGTGAATGTTTTCTGGTGCAGGAGAAACTCAGTGAGGTGGACACCAAAATCAAAGCTCCCCCGAAACAGATGGCCTGGTATGACACCATTTTACAGTTAGCATGATTTATGTATATTTGATGTATGCTGTATTTTCACTGACATTTAGTTTTAAGGGTGTGTGTGTGTGTGTGTGTGTGTGTGTGTGTGTGTGTCAGACTCCCCCAGGCCTCTCTCCACAAGCATCCAGTATAGTTCACATGTGTGTCTCATTCAGTTATAAGTATCTGGCACTCCTCACTGACTCTGGTCTTGTGTGGATGGGCACGTCGAACCTAAAGGTAAGTGAAAACCAGCAATATCACTTTGTATTTGATTAACCTGTTTATTCTGGTTAAAATTGTAGAAACTTGCTGTAAGTGGTCTAAGCGATTGTTTCTCCATCAGTTCATTATTCTCTCTGATTAGTTAATTAGTTCATTAATTGCTCTGTCTTAAGCCTTAATTACAACCTTAATACTTTTGCACAACAATGCAGCATCAGGTGAATGTTTTCTGGTGCAGGAGAAACTCAGTGAGGTGGACACCAAAATCAAAGCTCCCCCGAAACAGATGGCCTGGTATGACACCATTTTACAGTTAGCATGATTTATGTATATTTGATGTATGCTGTATTTTCACTGACATTTAGTTTTAAGGATAAGTTTGTATTATTATTATTTTCTTGCAGGTGTCGCAGGCCCAAGAGTCAGCAGCCATCGGCTGTGGTAATGTGGGATGGGCTCCTCCTAGTGGTGGGAGAGTGTAAAGAAACAATTCAGTACCATCTGGACGATGACTCAATTCTGGTGCCAGAACTGGACGGGGTCCGGATCATCAGTGGAACACACCATGAGCTGCTGCAAGAGGTCCCAGGTTAGAAAATTCTACACTACCGTTCAAAAGTGTGGGGTCCATTCGATTTCTTTATGTTTTGGACAGTATTAAAATGTCATTTATTTCTGTGATGGCAATACCACACATTTCTTATTACTATCAATGTTGAAAGCAGTTGTGCTGGTGAATATTTTTGCGAAAACTGTGATGCACTTTTTCAGGATTCATAGAAAGCTCAAATGAACAGCATTTATTTGAAATGAAAATCTTTTTGTAGCATTATAAAGGTCTTTACTGTTACTTTTGATTGAATGCATCCTTGCTGAATAAAAGGATTCAGCAAAAACCAAATCTTACTGACCCCGAACATTTGAATGGTAATGTATATAGAATGCTGCCAGTTTCTACATCCCTCAAGCCCACAAGTGATTTGATTTTCCCATGATGCTCTGCAGGTGCATGCGAGGAGATCTTTAAAATTGCCTCAATGGCTCCTGGAGCACTACTGCTAGAGGCACATAAAGAATATGAGGTAAGACACATTTACTGTGTCGGATACACATTATTAAAACTTGACATGTATTAAAACTTGAAATGTAATACATAAAATTGACCACATATCTACAATTACAGCTATCGTTGAAAATTGCATACTTTACTATATGTTTGAATGTATGCTTATACTGTATGAGGTGCTTTCTTCTGTTGTACACAAAAGAAGATATTTTGAAGTATGTGGGTAACCAAACAGTTGCCTTGACTTCCATAGTATGTTTTTCTCATTTTTGGGTGAACTATGCCCTTAAGTGCTAATTATGACAGGTTTATTATGTCTAATTGCTTTTGTGTGTGAAAATATTTGCAGAAAGAGAGTCAGAAGGCAGATGAGTATCTGAGAGAAATTAAAGAGCAGAGTCTACTGAGCGAGGCTGTGAGGCAGTGTGTGGAGGCCGCCGGACATGAACATGAACCTGAGACACAGAAAACACTCTTGAGGGTGAGCCACACAGGCTGAATGTTGCAGGAAGAGAGACATTTCATTTACAGAAGGGTTTATACAGTATATTCTTTCTCTCTGCAGGCAGCCTCATTTGGGAAGTGCTTTTTGAGTAATTTTCCTCCAGAGCAGTTTGTCAGCATGTGTAGAGACCTGCGGGTGTTGAATGCAGTCCGAGACTATACCGTCGGCATTCCACTTTCCCTCACTCAGTTCAAACAGATGACCATACAAGTGCTCATCGACAGGTGCGACCATAAGAGGGTATAATTTTGTGCACAGCATTTGTCTGTATGCATTGCAGAAAATAGTTTTTTGATCACTTCCTTTGAAATGTTTAAATTTTATACTGAATGTGACAAAGCAGATTGTTCATCTTAATCTATGGCACTTTCTCTGTTTCAGACTGGTGTATCGTAAACTCTATCCACTGGCTATTGAGGTTTGCTGCTATTTAAAGACTCCAGAATATCAGGGAGTGAGCCGAGTACTCAAACACTGGGCCTGCTACAAGGTGTGTGTGTGTGTGTGTACTTATTTACTACACTTGTAAGGTTAAAACGTTTAAAAATATGAATGTTGTAAAACATTTTAAAAACCTGTTGTGATGTTTACATTTATAAAAATTAACTATAAAATATATAGTTATATTCCAGTATTTTGTATTGTTTTTACAACTTTTATTCAACAAAGTTGCATTAAATTTATCAAAATTGACAGATAAGACTTTTACACTTTCAAAAGATTTCTATTTTGGATGAATATTGTTCTTTTGAACACTGTATTCAAAATTCCACTTTGCCATGGCAGAAATAAATTACATTTTAAAACATAGTAAAATAGAAAAAAAAAAATTTACATTTTAATAATATTTCACTAGATTACTGTTTTTACTGTATAATCCCGCCTTGGTAAGCTTCTTTCAAAAACTTCAAAAAATATTACCGACCCCAAAGTTTTGAACTTCTGACTTTTATAGTACTTTTATGGTGTTTTGGTGTCCCTTTTTGAAGTCCCCATTTATTTTAAAAGTTGAATTTTTCCATTCATTATTAGATTTATGAAACCACAGACATCAAGGGTTTACTGATGTTGTTTACAGAATCAGAGCACACTGGCAAGTGCAAATGTGTTTCATTGCATTTGCTAAACCTAGTGAAGATTTATGATTGTCTCGTTCAGTCTGAGAGGTTCGGATGTAGCATAACAAAGCTTATGAGTGAAGTGCCTATCAGTGAACCCCGATAAAAGATTTTCCTTTGTGCGTGCTTTTGTAGGTCCAGCAGAAAGAAGAATCGGATGAAGTCATAGCAAAAGCTGTTAGTGTGAAGCTTGCTGACGCTGCTGGAATCTCCTATTCTGAAATCGCCACTAAAGCATATGAGAGTGGACGCACAGAGCTCGCCATTAAGGTACACACACACACAGACTATGTTCTAATAAAAACTAGGGGCCGCTGATATTATGGGTTGTCAGTCAGTTTGTGTTGGTCTCTCTCTTTCAGTTGTTGGAGTTTGAGCCTCGCTCTGGTGAGCAGGTCCCACTGCTGTTAAAAATGAAGAAAAGCCCTCTGGCTTTAAGTAAAGCCATTGAGAGTGGAGACACAGACCTCGGTACACACACATTCACATACAGGTTTCAAAACCTCATGAGCAGCCTGCCAAGCCATCATTTTATGTAGATACACTACTGTAATTTATTCCTGTGATGCAAAGCTGAATTTTCAGCTTCATTACTCCAGTCTTCAGTGTCTCATGATCCTTCAGAAATCATTCTAATATGCTGATTTGGTGCTCAAGAAACACTTAATAGTATCCCGAATCACTGGAGATGGTTTACCTGCGTGCCTTCTTGTATGCTAGTGTACACGGTGGTCATGTACCTGAAGAATGAGCTGAACAGAGGAGACTTCTTCATGATGTTGAGGAACCAACCTGTGGCTCTGAGCCTCTACAAACAGGTACACACATCTGCACACACATGCTTCCCGAAAACACACACACCCTGCTGCTGCAGACCTGAGAACCACAGGCATTATTTATGATAAGAACATGTGACAAATGGCCACAATGAAATCTCATTGGTCCAAACCCCTCTGCTCATATCTGTACATCAAATCTGTTCTGACTGGCTATGCTTTTGTTGCTGTATTTACAGAAAAAATACTGCTGCCTAGTTAGGACAGTTGTTCGCCAAAGCAATTCACGTCAGCTCCATAGCCTCAGTGTTGTTATCATTAAATATAGTAAAACTAAAAGTACTGAAAGTCCTTTTAATAATTAAAATAAAGCTGAAATAAAATAAAATATAAATAACTTAAATGAAAATTAGAAATGCAGCCTTCGAAACTTATTGAAAAAAATAAGTTGAAGTTCTAAAATTTACTAAAACTAAAAATGAAATAAAAAATAAATTAGCGCTAAATATAAATCTTTTTAAAAGACATACACATAACAAATCTACTAAAACGTTCAAATAAAAATGAAACCTGTTCACATTGTTTATTTTGTGTGTGTAGTTCTGTAAGCATCAGGAGCAGGATACACTAAAAGATCTTTTCAATCAAGATGATGATCATGAAGAACTTGGCAATTTCTATGTAAAGGCCAGCTATAAAGAGCAGGTTGGTGTTTACAGTTCTTTCTTCCTCATTTTTCTTCTCACTTCCATGATTTGAATGACAGAAGTGCTATAAAGGTTCAACAAATTATGGTGGCTTCATTTCCACCAATGGCTGGGGTTTGAAGGCTTTGCCTTCCACCTTAATTTCTTAGTACACTTCTGTTATTTTTAGTAACATGATTTTGCTAGTTGCCTTGGTAAGAATGCATCTACTTAGAAAATAAATGTAAAGTGCATGTGTGTGCAATTACAGAGACTGGAAGCTCGGATTGCTCATTTACAAAGTGCTGTGGACGAGTACTACAAAGCCAAGAAAGAATTTTCTGCCAAGGTGAAGACCTCAGACTCTTCTGTTACAGGCAGATTAGCAGCCTGGGTCAGAGTTCACTGCACATCTGTGAATGATCTAAAGGAATTCTTGTTTTTTCGCCTCTCTCAGACAACAGAAGATGAAATGCGTCTGCTGCGGTTTCAGAGGAAGCTAGAGGAAGAGAAGGGTGAGCAGCTCGTGGGATTCTCTCTTCATGACACTATGACCACGCTGCTGTCTGTGGGGCTGCACAAACACGTCGAGCAACTTTACAAAGACTTCAGAGTGCCCGACAAGAGGTGTGCCTTCTATTTATAGTTTTACCCACATGATTTATACTTTCTCTTTATTTGGTTTTAATGAAAGAATATACCTTGAGCAACATTTAATCCATGTCCCACTGGCAGTGTCGAGAATCACCAGAACATTCTCTGAGCTTCAGTGGTGACTCTGAGCTAATAAACCAGAGTGTGGCAAAGTGCTTTATCCTGCTGAAAGAGGCCACTGCCATCAAGGAACACCATTGCCTTGAAGGGTTGTATGTGATCTGCAACAATCTTTAAGTAGGTGGTAAGTATCCAAGTAATGTCCACATGAATGCAGGACTCAAGGCCTTCTTCCCATAGTACATCCTGCTGCCATCTCTTCCCCAGGTAAAAGACACGTGCGCACGTGGCCGTCCAACTGATCTTAAAGAAAATGTGATTCATCAGACCAGGCAAACTTCTTTCATTGCTCCATGGTCCAGTTCTGAAATTCACATGCCCACTGTAGGTGCAGATTACAGGGGGGTAAAATGACTTTAGAAAGATGGCAGCATCAATAATATATTAATACTTCCTGAGTTAGAGGCACTCAAACTTTGGAAAAAGAATATTTATGGCACTCAGACAGGTATGTTCTACGCAATTATTTTGATATAGGGAAACAAGATACATTATTTTAGTTTCAACGTCACACCTTCCTCTTTAAAAGAAAAAAAGAATCAGCTGAATGCAAAGTGATTCAAAAAGTGGTTTTTGACCACTGAAAATGTGTACAATTCAACAATTTACTCCTGGAGCCATATTGAGATTCCAATATTGCTGGAATGGAACCATATAGAGCCTTAAAAATTAAGATACCAAAAGGAAAGTGTGTTAACACCCAAAATCTAAAATGTATAATGGCAACAAAGATTGCTAAAGTCAACAGATTTTACTAATAGACCTATCAATCTCTGTGTGAAAATAATATAATGATGCTGCCAACTTTCTGAGTCATTTTACTGACCCATCCCCC